AGAGTCTTTGCAAATGCCCACAAACGCCCCGGGGAGCGCGGCTGGTTAATTTGGCCAAAAACGGGCAATGACAGGCAAAACTGGGCTGGATCAGGCGGGGAAGCGCATTGCACAAGCGAGGTCAGCGTGCAAGCGCTATCTTGCGCACCATCAACGATCCCACCAACGGCCACACGCAACACCAGCGCGCTCCTCTATTTTTCCACCCAGACCCTAAACGCTACCCAGGGCAGGGGATCGGGGAACCTCCCGGCGTACTCTAAACCTAAAAGGCGGCTTGTCTCGGTGCAACGAGCAGAATTATTTCCTGCCCCCGTTTATTAGAGGAGACATATAAAGCGAAGCAAATCTGGCCCGGGTTCTCCTCTCAACCCGCTCGGTTGGTACCAACGCTGTTCGAGGGCACTTCCAGGGAAAGCGGGAAATGGAAACGGTTTGGAGGTTATCACAGAAGACGAGAATGGATGGAGATGACGACAACAACACGTGTTTCAGAAATAAAACACGGACAACTCCATACGATAAGCATATTAATTGAAATTAGTCACATAGCTAACAATGTGAAGAAACGCAGGATCGTTTCATTTTTTGCCTTTCAGCCTCATGAATGCAAAATGCGCTTGTAATCTTAATACCGTTCAGGAGACAAAGCAGTCTTTAAAAATCACACTTCACAAGGCTCGGGGGAAAATAAGTTACTAATGAACGGTATTTACAGTTGCTCCATCTAAACATGCTTTCACTGGCTTTTCAGAAGTTGCTGCATAAACGCAAATCACGAGAAGGAATGCAGAACGACGCTTTTCTCCTAATAACCTGTTTCTCCGTTCAGAAGAGTGCTGCTAAGCCTTCCACAAAACGCCCTTGCCCAAGCAAACATGCAGGAGCCAGAAGGTAACCGGCAGCGAACTTCTTGAGAAGCAACTCCCTACAGACGGCTGCGGCTCGGCCAGGCAGCATTCGCGCTGTATCAAAGAGGCCGGATGCCCCTTCCCCAGGCAGGGCAAATTCACCCGGCAAATTCACCCACGGGGCACAAGGGTGCATTGGTGTCTGCGGTCCACTGAGTGAACGCTGACTTTACCTGGGGTTTTTGAGACAGACTCGGGAATTCGTATAAAGCCGGGGGTGGGCGGTGGGGGGAAAAAAGTAAACTGGATACGTAACGCATGAAAAAAAGGTTTGGAGACACACACACACACACACATACACGCACACACTTTTATGATGCAAGTTATTAATTGTGCACCAACATTTTGTGTGTTTCTACAGGCAAAATGAAAACCAGCATTTTTCTCTTACAATTATCGTACGTTTTAAAGCAACAAAAATTGTCATTTTTTTCTACAGAAATGGCAACATTTATTTTTTAACAACAATGGAAAGATATGCAAAAATAGCCCATAATAGAAAGGGGGGGAAAACGATCTGCTTTCTCTTTAAACCCATGAACAATAGAAGGTCACGTGGCACAGTATCCTATCATTCAGCACATTAATAGCTGTGCTAGAGTAATTACACTTGTGGTATTTTTGCCTCAAGTGAAATTCTGAAATAAGAGGATGGAAATTATGATACTGCTGATAAATATTAATAAGTGAACTTTTAATTTTTTTGCCACAATATTCAAAATGCTAAGCATCTAGCTAATGCTGAAGCAGCCTGATATGTGTTTGCCTCCAGGGACTATGATGCTTTATGCACTTAAGAAAAAAGTTTAACGGAATTAAAATTTAATATCTAATTAGAGCAAGGCTAATATATTTTGAAATGAGTGGGGAAGACACACGCCTCTGTTGCATATTTGCTACAGTCATTAATCTTACCTGTAAAGCAGCATTGAGAGGTGTGCAGTAGGTGTGGCTGGTCTGTATGTTTTTAATAAGAGAAGGGTTACTGCATAAGAAAAACATAAAAAGGAGAGTTAAATGCAACCAACCTCTACGAGAGCGTTTCAAGCACGTAACGCTTCCTCCCACACCAGAAAACTAGAGCTGAGATTTCTTTTTTCACCACAAGTTCTCTCTGTTTTTTTTTTTTTTCAATCTGATTTTTACAGTTATCTTATTTGCCTTCACTAAATATGGAGTATCGTTATCTCTAAAAGTTACCTCGCCACGTGCTCTACTACCCTGTGTCAGCATCGCATCTGGGCATCTCTGCTCATCTGAGCTGCGTTCGGGAGAAATTCCCCGATACTCGTCGTGGCTAGCAGTCAGTGAGCACGTAGAGGTCCATCGTAAGGAGGCTCTGCTTAAAAGCGTTACGGGATGTTTTCAGTACTCCATAAGGCAAATCATCCTCCAAGCGGCTGGCAGCAGAATCCCTCGCGACTGAATATGGGGATCGGGACGAGAGATGTCTGGTTTCCTGAGCCCTGCTAGGCAAATCTCCAAGGGTCCCGTGGAGCGGCCGCCCGGAGGTCTGGGGCTGGGCGGAGAGCGGGGACCGCGCAGGCAGGTCCGCACGCCCAACAACACGCGCTGCGTTCAAGGCCAGTTTAACAAAAATTATGGCCGTGTGCTATTCTGCACGCCCTGCTCTAGTCATCTCAGGTTTCCACACGGGGCCAGGTTTGAGGAAGATAAACGCCAAGCGTGTCCACTCGCTCTTTAGAGGGCATCTACAAATCACCCGTCCCGCTTGGGGAGGAAAAAAGGCTTCGACTACAAACTAGGAAAGACGTCCCAATGCAAAAAAATCTCCAGAAAGTTTTATCATTCACTGGGCACTTTTTAAATTGTTTTTTGCACATGGGAATAAATCAGGGTGAGAAGAGTCTTAACTGACCCCCTCCCACAGGGACCAACAAGGATCGGTTGTTCTGGAGAGACGGCCTTCGAGTAAAGGTCAAAGAAAATTGCTTTGGGAACCCTAGGAGTATTTGAGAGCGGTTGTTGTAGACACGAGATGGCCTTCTGTTTATAGCCTATACAGCTGGTCTCACTGCGCTTTCAGAATTTTTTTGCTTAATTCCGTGTTTCTGTTTCATAAGCACCTAATCGCACTTTTGGATTAAGAGCTGCAAAACAAGGCATACAACTGAAAGCAAAGGAAAACATCAAAATTAAAACTTATCTGAACCCCCTCCTGACCTATCTCTGTCTTCCTGACAGATCTACAGCAGCGTATCTGCGCTAGCATGGATAATTGTTTTGGTCTACTTTGCACTATAAACAAATACTGTAACAGACATGTCAAAGTAGAGTTATTTTACAGGCATTTGGATTATCAGAGTAGGACACACAAAATACACATAACAACCAAAAATTTAGTTTCTTTAGCAGCAAAGGTGATGTCACTATTTCGTGAAATGCAAGTCTACATGAGATGGGTAAATCATGCAAAGCAAAGCAACAGCAGAAAAAAAAAATTAAAGCAAGTAAAAGCTCTTACTGTGCAACAAGCTCGCCAAAGTTTTCATCAGGGCAGTATTTTCGAGGACGGCCTCGTTGAATATGACGGCCACGTTTAAACTCTTCATCATCAACAGTCCAAAAGGACCCAAACTCATCCTCTACTCTGATAAAGCACTTATGCAGTGAGAGGTTGGTGCGAATGGCACCCTGGGACAAGAGCAGCAGCAAAGGAGATGAAGTGGAAACAAAGGGACACGGGATCGGGGACAGAACAGACATCAAATACAGGGAAAAGGAAAAAGAAAATAAAATGCAATAAGCATAAGCAAATGGTTTGTGAGGGTTAATATGCATTGCCACCTACAAGCTACTAGCATGTGATGCAACAAACACCAAGCAAGCAGGGTCAGGGTACTGGTGGGCATACAAACAGTAGTGATGAGATGTTTTTCTTGGTTTCCCTTAACTGAAACAATGCGAAACCACCTGTGGTTGGTCTAACACCAGCTAGCAGCCAAAAGCCTCTACGTTAAACTGTAAGCATGATCCAAGCTAGGCTAAGAAGTTCAAACATGGTGGACATACCCACTGATCTTTTGTGGCCTTCGTTTTTGGAACTCTAGTTCATCCACTGTCCATACTGCCCCTTTAACGTTTTCTACTCGCACAAAACACTTGTGAAGACTAAGATTATGACGCACTGCATTCTGCAGCAAGTATAAAAGAGAAAACATTCAAAAACTTTCCATGAGAAAATGCTCATCATCGTCCAAGAACAGCAGCACAGTCAGCTTGACAGTCCTTATTTTGCAACGTTAAGCCCATGCCCCCTCCCCTCCCCGCACCCGCCTGCTTTCCCCATACAGCAGCTCTTTACATCTTAATTTGCAAAGACAAAATAAAAACAAAAGCTTAACCCCGCGATTAGAAATGCAAGTTATTATTCTTATCGGTTATCCGCAGTGTGAACGAGAACAGCCATCAGTTTACACATGCACCTTGTACAGTAGAGCACTTTGCATACGCAACACAGAGGAACGTTGCTGAGGCACTTTCAAAACAAGCGTTTACGCTCTGCCCAGAGAAACTTATCCTCTCCTGGAAAAGAAAGCGGTCGTGAAAGCACAGAAAGAACTTCAGGTGAGCGCAGGCGGCTCGATTCGGCAACGAGGCACCGGGGCTGGCGCTGCTGCGGTTTCCCTGCGCGGCCGGGGGGGCTCGGAGGGCGAGCGGCGCCCC